GTTTGAACTGGGGATCTTTTGGGATTTGGGATTTTCAATTTCAGCGGTACTGGGCGATGGGATTTCGCGAATTTTTGCGCTCTTCTGTATGCGGCAAAATTTCCCTCTCATTATACTCTGTTGTTTCTTATTATACCGGCTTAGTCCTCTTTGAGCGCTATACGAATCTTGAAAACTGATTGCTGCAGGTAGCTTTTCCTGGATGTTTTTAGTGGTTATATATCTTTTGGTGATAATATTCACGCGTTTCTGTACGATTTTCCCAGCGAGATTGTTTTTATCGGCGTCTTACGCAAAAGGAGCGTGGGAAAACAGCCAAAAGAAACTATTTTCGGACATCCACTGACAAGAGCAAAGTAGGCCCTCTTTTTTTCGAGAAGGGGGGCAAAATTGTTGTTTTTCTCTAAAATGTATTTAAGAATATCGCTACTTCATGATCCATTACGTTAATCCTTTGGAGTTGTTTATGATGTTCACATCTTTTTTTTTCATCCGTCGCGTTAATCCCTTGGAGTTGTTGATGATGCTTAGTTTCGTTATTATTTTGACCATAATTGCTGCATCACTTGCTGGTCACTTTCATTATTGTTTTGACCAATGTAGCATCGTCTGTTGGCATTCTTTTTGTTCTCTTTGTCTCGTGGAGGGATTACTTGCTCAACAGTTCTGTCGACAGAAACTTCTGGCGAGATTTTTGATTTCCTAGATGCTGTTGGTGTGTTGAACATCACTGTCTCGTCCCGAATACTAATGTTTCATATGTGGGTAAAGCGAAGAACACAGTTATTATGTCTTAACAATACTGTGTATAATTAGCTGCACTATTCTCTTATGCTTACTTGATACTTCAGAAACAACGACAAGTTGCTTCTGCTTCAGCAGGACGGGGGAACATAACCTCAAAATTCCAGCTTCCTATTTTTTCTCTTTCCCGAGTTATCAGTTTTCCCGCCAAAACTTTCACCTCCTCGTACGCGGGGCCCAGACTTGCCTGAGGGCTGATACTGCGATTCTGGTGGCGTAGCCGACAACCATGCTGTTTTATCTTCACTGTTTTGATCAGTGCTGCATCATCTGGTAGTCAGCCTTCCTGCTATCTTGTGCCAAAGTGTTTCTGTCAGGGGAGTCATTTGGGCCCGGCAGTTTTGCAGCAATTGCTGGCGCGTTGGCTCTCTAGACAAAAACTCATTGATAAGGCTTTACATAGACGATTCTAAGCCCTCGGTCCTCTTTCAATCTCCTGGTCACGCATATTCACTGTTTGTATCTCTAAAATTTCCATAATACATTAGCCATTTGGAGATTCAACAGTATATGCTGAGCATCGCTATCTCGTTCAGTTTTAAACTAAAAACTAAAATTGAAAAGATGGAAAGGGAAGGCTAATGGAATAAATATAGTTAACAAAACTACAGCCTCAAAAAAGTTGTTAAACTGGAAAGAAATGTTTCGGTCAATGAAGGCATGTGCATTTTTTTAACGCCAAAGCTAATGATGAGGTTAAAAGTAAGAAAAATACCACTTTTAATTCTTCTTGCTCTCGTCTGTATTATTTAACATTTTTCTGATATTTACCGTATTATTAACTATGTAGACTTTTTTCCAAATGTTCTTCAGGAAAAGTATGAAGTTGCCCTCTTATGAAAACTTCTGCTATCTATCGTAGGTAGTCGTAATCTTTCGTTATACATGCTCGGGCAATCGATTTCAGTTTTGAGCTAGCCTCCCGTTCCGTCACGTTAGGCTCATACAGCGATTTCTTCCTCCCCTTCCCCTCCTCCCCCGCTGTCAGTGGTGTTCACCGGAAGCGTGGCATAGATGAAAATACGGGTTCATTACTTTTACCAATCATTCGTTTGTAATGGTGCGATTCGCATGGGGTGGAGTCTTCCAGTGCTTTTGGTGTTCTCTTTTCTTTCGGTTCGCTTACTAGCGCATCTTCAGCTTGCTTGTAAGCAGGTCTCTCGCGAAAAAAGAGCGGTAAAGGCGAATGGTTACTGTTGGCATGTGCTACCGCTCGGGCTACTTCTGACTACTTCCATCGCTCACAAAGACCCAGAACACCGCGGGAGGTGGTTTAAAGTCCACTTTTGAATTCTACACGTGAGAGTTTGAACTTAATTAATTTTTGCTTGTGCAAAATCGCGCGCGAAAATAAGCTACAAAAGGATTTGTCGAGAGATTTGTTAGTTTCAAATTTCAGGAGTGTTTCGGGCTCGAAATGTCCGGTAGTGATCGCATGCGGCAGGGCTTGCCACCGCCAACACAGTTCTTTCAAGAAGAAGAGCCGAGTGATGAAGACGAGCAAGATGAGGAATATAATCAGCCGTTAGCGCTGTTCCGCCGTTCGAGACAGCCAACTTCATCGGCAGCAGTAGGTCAGGCACAGGCCGGAGGACGTGCTCCTATTCCAACTTCTTCGTTTTACGGGACCCAACATCAGCCCACGGTAAATTTTGGCAATTGTAATTGGAATTGAAATAGAAAAAGAAAAAAAAAAAGAATAGAAACAAGGAAAATGGTACTTCTACCGTCTTAGAAGAAAAGGAAAAGAAAATAGCAGTTGTTCTGGCGGATGGGTCGTTTGATAATATTCACCAAATCAGGATGGGGAAAAGGATAGTAGAGGATTGGGAGCAAGGAAGGAGCTCGGAAATCCCCAGTTTAGTAAAAAGTCCCAGGATTACTTTATTTTAGTGATTGCCTGAAACCATTTAGAAACAGTTGTGCGACGATAGCTTATTGCTGAGCATGTGTCTATGGTGGTATACTTAGTGTTTCCGTGCAACTGATGCACCGCGAAGTGCGTGGCCTCCGCTTGAGTTCCAACTCCAGGATCCTTGTCCTTCTGGTCTCAGTTAAATGTGCTTAAAATAATTCCGCTTCATCATGTTGCATGAATAGAGTTTATTCCCAGTAAGCTGTAGCAGAGTACCAGAAAGGTTTTTTTTTTCTGAGAGGGTGTGCGAAAATTTGAGCCAAGAAACGTTTATTTCAGCATAGCTCAGAAATTTTTGCAAAATTTTTGAGCGGTCCTTGCAAATGGTGGTTGTAGAATAATTTTTTGGTTTGTACTACAGTAATTTTTTCGCGTTTTTGCTTGTGGAGGATGTTCTTGTGCTACTGTGAATTTTTGAGTGAGCGAGTCGAATGAGGTGAATGCTTAATCATGAGTTGTGCGAGAGTTTAGTAGCGATTTAAGCCGAGTTCCCAAGTATTAAACCAGATAGCGACGTACCAGTCGTGCCGGTGCGACCATGAAGTTTTTTGTTCCCGCTAAATATGAGGCAGTCAGATCGTTAACTTAAAACAATCACATCATATGAATTGTTGCTGCTTTACATTTTAACATGCACACTCATGTTGGCCGTGTTTTGGCTTTTTCTTGTATGCATGGAAAAGGGCGTCGACTGGGATGGTAGTGTTGCACAGTCGGGCCGCGTGAAATCTTAACCTCCAGCATTTCATGAATCGGAAATTTTGCATAGTAACGGCCGTTTACTAACAAATTGGCCAATGAACAAAATGTTGGGAGAAAGTGAGGTGGTGCACACACACTGAACAAGCTGTGGATAAGCGACGTTTGATCGAAGGTTCTGGCACAGCTGCGGCCTGGCGTGGGGGAGCGTTCCAGGACACGCTAACGTCGTATCACAATACGGATTGTCCGGACGGTCTTGGATTTTTTTAAAATGAATGAAACAGAAATTGGCTGAAAAATAATAAAGTTATTTGTAAGATAAAACTTCCAGCAAGATAAAACTTTTAAGACAAAACTTTATTTTCCTCGGATAAAGCTTTAAGATAAAACTTTTAAGGGACTGTTTTTATTGGAAAGATTTTTTTGCCTCGTATGCTCCGGCTTTTTTGCATTTGGTACCATCCGACATTCTCTTTTTGACAAAAATTTGAAATTCAACGATAGGATTTCCCTACCATTTGTTTTCTTATTCTTCAAAAAAAGGGTAATGTGAATTATCTAATTCTCATTCTTCAAAGTAGCACTGAGTTTGATGCCAGACACAGTACTGCGCATTTTAATGTGATCTTTTTTTTTACCGAGCAAGAGAAATTCAGTAGGTGAAAAGTATAGCGAATTTGAGATGAAGACTTCTGCTATGGATATTAGAGTCCACGTTAGACGCTGGAAAGCGAAACTGATTCAAGGGATAAGTGCAGTTTGTTTGTAGACAGTGAATTTTATGATTCTCACTTTTTGGAATCGATGCTGTTAAAAGTCTGTATGCCAAATTTTATGAAAGTTCCAAATATTGGCGATAAAAGCGCTTACATACAGCATGAAACTCTGTGGGGACGATTCACTCCTACCCTGTGGGGGAAGATTCGGGGAGAATTGTACTCCGATAATGCCCAGACCCAACACTGCCGGTCTTAACTAGTAAGATCAGCAGTATTGGGACTGGGCATTGCCACCCACTGGTGTGCAGTGGCGGACCGGATTTGAAGAAATACACTATCGGACATTTAGCTGAATTCATTTATGGTATTGGCAGCACTTTTATTACTGTTATTATTAGAAAACCGGCCAAAAACTCACACACTACTATAATTTACCCGAAATACTTTGGACGAGCCGTAGTTCATAAATACAAATGTAAACGCATATAGGCATAAACACAATAAAAATGCAAACATAAATGTAAATATGTGTATGTGCGTAAACATGTAGAAACGGAGAGATGACTCAAAAACCAGTATTTAAATAAACAGAAACATAGAAGTAAATAATCCTAGTCGAAACATTATGAGCTGAGATAAAGATTTCGATCGATTAATTTTGCATATGTGCTGTCATATCATCGCGACTGCACCTCATCAGTAGGACGGTTGTGGCATTATGAATTTACGTCCAACAGAAGGCTGATCAGTATGAGAAGAAAGAAATGAGAACGAAAGGAAGGAAAAAAGAGAAAAAAGGGGAGAAAAGGAAGCGATTGTGACTGTTTTGCAACAGTGTTACAAAGATCCTTGAGATCAGATGCTTTGAAGTACTTCAAAGTTTGATGTTCAAGATATCGTACCTTAGGAAGTCACTAATACTGTTAGCAGAAAGAGATAATCATGCGATTTCTTTGCTTTTAAATTGGAACCTTCAAGCCAAAAATTTTCACTAAAATTAAAAAAATTCGAGAAAAAACTTTCTAGACGCCGAGACTTTGAGCATTGAAAATTAAAGCGCCGAATTTCAAAATACCTCAGAACTTTCAAGAAACATATCCACAAACTCTCTACAGAACTGGGATTCATAGGCCAAGCGTGTCTGCATTCTTCAAAATTCTCCAGTGCTTTGTACTCCTCTCTCGGCGCTCTTTAAGCCAAATTCTTTATTTCACAATTATTTGCTTAATAACGTTTTTAGAATTAATCCGATTATGAAACAAATGCAGCAAAATTATCCAACCCCAAAGTATGCATTGGATCAGTAGCGGTCCAGTGATCCATATGTGTATAATGAAGTGCGTCATGACCGTTTCGTCTTCATTTGGGACTCCCCCTGTAATCCATCTCATCTAAAATTATGCCCCAGTAGTTATCTGTTTTTCAGATCTCGCAATATTATTATCCGCTTCAGTTTAAGATGTTTGCGGATTGCCCTAGGAGTTTCGAGTGTATAGCAAAATTAAGGTGTCCGGATGTTCCGGAAAGTTTCCCCAAGTCCCTGAATTTCCCTGAATGTCCCTGAATTTCCGCAAGATGAAACCGCGCCTCGCACTATGTATTTTCATCTGCATCAATTATCCACTGTGTTTCTTATCCCTTCGCATCGACCTTCATAGCTTACACACACACATTTGGCTAATAGTCAAGGATCATTGGACCTGGATCGTTGCACTTAGATGTGGGAACATCTTAATAAAGTTCTAAAAATTAAATCCCCGCACCGATTGTCTTGGTCTTGTTTTGGCCCAAAGAATGGGGCCGTTGAATACGAACTTTTGCTTTCCTCATCCACAGCGTTCTACAGTTACGAGTTAGTAATCAGTCTGGCGCCTCTTCTACTGTTCTTCAGCAATAGTGCTTCTGATTAACGTTTTTTTAAACGTAAAATTTGCTATAGTCTCATTTTGCAAACAAATTGATATTACTACCTTTGTTGTTTTTTTTTTTTACTCGAAAAGGGTGTTATTCATGCCCGTTTGCAGAGTTCTTTCTTTGTAGATTCGTCTCGAGTTTGACTAATTTTCGAAAAGAAGCCTGCACTACAGATCCCTCGAAATGGAATTTTCTGCATGAAACGCGCGTCTTTTCCAGTGCTGTACTTCTCCTTATTCGAACAAATATGGCATTTTGTTGTAGCATTGGCGCTAAATTTAGCTTTTTTTTTACCTGTTTATTCGTCTTTGCTCGGATCAGCAGTTCCAAATTAGTTTAAATGTCTTTTTGGTGGATTTTGTTTGCTTTAGCAAATATTGTATTTCAATAGAGCTATGTGCCACCCTTTTTAGATTTTCCATCCCCTGATCTGATATCGTCTTTCCAGCTAAACTGCTGTTTTTTTTTTTTTTTTTTTTTTTTTTTTT